GATTCGTTGAGCATGTAGCCATTTCCACAGCACTTAATCTTGTCAACATGAGCTATACTGAAAAGCAATCCCTCTAGAATTCAATAAGAATAAATACTTGCATGGTTTTCTGGATCAAGAACCAGTTTGTTGAGGAGGAAGATAATTGAGAAGACAGAACAATCACCAGATGCTCCTCTTTAGCACAAGTAAAATCTTGGGTAGCTGCTTCCCTTTTTCAGGAAAAGACATTGTGAGTTTGGAATCAGTGTGTCTGTAGCAACTTAAAATGACTTCAGTGGGTTTTAAACCATCCTGGCTGAACCATGACAAGTGGCCACCCCACTGTTACAGAGCACAAGGAACATGCTCTGACAAAGTGGGACAGGATTCCCGTGGCAATATCGCTAACTGGGTGTAAGATACACAAGGCATATCTGGACAAGGTTTTTTTTTGTTTTTGTTTTTGTTTTTTTATTGTGACGAAAACTAGAAGCTCTTTCCCCCAACATACTTCATCAAACTATTTACAACCTCTGTAAAATTTGCATGTTTGAAAATACTTTTTTTCCACTATCGCATATGTTACGAATACAGTAAAATATCTTCACTCTATTTTTAAAGATGCAGTATCCTTCTATTTCATTTTCTTATGAAAATCTGAATTTCTATTGCAATTGCTCAATATTCAGCATATTTAAAATACCAATGGACATGGGTTGCTAAACAGACATTACTCTATAATGAAACTGTGAAAATATAGCATTTATAATTTTTATGTACATTTTCTTAACTATAAAATGCAGGCAAAGTCATATATAGTATTATAAGCTGATTCCCTAATAAGGTAAATAACTTACATTTCTAGATAGTATGGATTATTACAAATTTTTTTTTCTTTTAAAAAAGTTCTTTGTTGATATTTATTAGCTCACTGGCAGCTGCATATACAGGTATGTATACACATGTGCAGGTGTTAGGGAGTCTGTCCAGGTAAGTGGAAGGCAGTGTGGGGACAAGTAGAAGTATGAGAGATGTGGCTTACCAAATTACTTTCCTAAAGGAAACTGACTCAAATTGGAAAGACCATTTCATGGAATGCACTACCTCAGAAAAAATAAAGGAAGAGATTTGGTCAATGATGTTTTAACAGAATACATTTACTCCCCAAAATTGACAGGCATTGGTAAAGAGCAAATTTGAAGAGTAGATAATGAATTATGAAAATTAAGGCTTCCTGGGCCTATTATGCTTCCTCAGAGTCACCTCATATTCAATCCCTTTGATGCAGACCACAGCATGGATGCTGGCATTGATACTGCTTGAATTCTGTGCATCCTCATTATCCATGTTAAGACAGCTTCATTACAACACCACTGCTACATTTCTAAGCAGTCACAACAGCATAACAAAGGCATATTAATACAATTGAAGGCCTCACCTCACCAGATTTATTCAATTGCAGCTTTGGTAAGTATAATAAATAAAGTACAGAATAAGGAATACTGCATCTTTATCCATATACATGTTATTCTAGTGAACTGATTTCAAAGTGCAGAATTATATTTATGTTTAAAACACAAATGGCGATTTGAAATTAAAACAAGTCATATCAAAATGAACACAATCTTTGCATAAGCTATTCCAAATTTCATCCATGATGGAAACAGCCCTTCTAATCAACTAGAACTGGCATTTGTAAACACTGCAGCATTTTTTAAGTTTTTTTTTCCCCCTGACAATTCATCTTCCTATTTCCCACTTAAACTTTAAAGTGAATAAAAAGTGCTTTTTTTTTTTTTAAAAAAAAAAAAGGTGGTTTATATTATTGGTATTTACTTGTCTTTGAAAACAAACAAACAAACAAACAAACAAAAAATCCTATGTGTTTTGTAAAGACAGGAGTATAATCTTTATGGTAAAGCCATTAGGAATCTCCATCTAGATGCCTTAATAGAACTTAAGACAAGTTATCAACACAGTCCACATAAAATGGACAGAGGAGATTGGAGGTGGATGGGGAAGCGTGAATCTCTCTCCAAACAAGATCAGACTAAAAAGGACTCTACTAAAACATCCTAACTTTTCAAATCCCCTAACTCCCTTGTAATCAATCTCTAAAATGCAAAAAAAGAATGTCAGGTCTCCTGCAGCTTCTTAAAAATTACAGCTGTGTGTATCAAAGTTCCCAAACATGCACATATCCCTAGCTGCAAATCCAACAGCTTCAAATTTAAAACCAAAGAATGTTTCTACTTAGGGAACAGCTGCTAAGTCCTTTGGGATTCGGTCCCTTTTCTATAGTTCATCATGCACTGTGCTTTTCAAAAGAGGCTAGAAATGCACATGAGATGGTATGGTGACTTTTCTATGCCTATACATATTCCATTTCCTTCTATCCCAAACCACTTTCCTTAACATGGGGAAACATCTTTAGGAAACTCACCAAGGTGAATTTGCTATATTCCAAAACAAGCCCACAATATGCTTCAGTTCCTGGGGTAGATCAGGAATTCATTCACTTACTTGTCCTTGGCTCCCTTCTTAGAAGTACTGCTCTGTGGAGAGGGGGAGATGGTGTGATGCTGACAGGTTTTTATCAGTTAACTCGCCATTTCATTCTGATTTCCATGACCAGAGGGTAAGGAGAAAAGCTCACTTCCCTACATCTTTCCTATGTTGTTAGAGAGCTCTTTGCTAAATTTAAATCAAGCTGTCATTTAGGAAGCTTCCACTGTCAGTTCAATGAATTCCAAAAACCATGCCTACCTACATACAGTACTCTCAAGACTTTGCTTGCTGGGAGCAGGGGGAGGGGGTGCTGGTGGAGAGAGGACACGGACTGGGCTGGCTCTTCTTTTGAGAATAGGCAGAACTAACTCAAATCTACACTTCCCTTGAGTGATCCCCTGACCTGCCAGCTAGGTTCTGGGTTCATGGCTGTGTTAGCCCCTCTCTGTTCTTTGCCACTGACCAGTGCTGGCATGTATCAAGAAACCTTTTTCTATTCTGAATGGTCACAGGCAATGAGAAGTGAGTTGCATACAGTACAGATAAAAAATGTTCCAGTTGGTAGAAAACCCACTGGTTGGTGGGTAGCAGATTGTGTAGCTAAAGAAGCTATTTATCAATAGAATTGCAGCCCTTGTTGGAGGGAAATTGCCCGATGTGTTTTTCAGGCCTGGCAGAAAACAGAGAACACATATTTTTGAAGTCAGAATTTGACCTGAAACTCTTTACACTGTTGCTTCAATCATTTGTTAAAATTCTTTTAATACCATCTAACACAAATTGTCCTTGTTGAAATGTTCATAGTTCTTGCTTCATCAGAGTAAGATTATTTGAATTAGAAGATGATCCTAAAAAGAATAATTTTGTCACCGGCAACTATTTCAGAATGTTCAAACATTTAAAAATGAGCTAGAAATATTGTGAGGTTAATTTGTGCAATTTCCCAAATCAAGTGTCTGTAATTAAAATATATTGCAAAGGTCTATGCTGGAGACCTTTTATATCTAAGCTATAAAAAATCCTAATGACAATAACAACAACATCAACAACAACAAAAAAATCTCAACAAGCCCCTTAGCCACATAAAGCTGGGCAGGAAAATGTCTTTTAGTGGGGACAAAAATATGCTAATTTTTCTGAAAGACTGCTTGTTGATGATGTATTGCTTTGTTTCCTGTATGCTTCACTAGTTGCAAAAGGTTCACAATTTTAGGGGGTTGGCGGGATTCTACTTTCCTCTCATCCTCGTGACAGGATGAGTAGGTTCAATATCCCTGCAGATGCCAATACAGGACCAGTGGGTCCTGGTACAGTTTAGAAAATGAAAGGTACAGAAGAACCTATTGGAGAGACTTATCCTTGGCTCTCCAACAGAGGAAACTTAGCACCATGGCAGGTCTTCGGCGGGACCATTCCCTTTCCACTGACTCAATTCCAAGAACTGACCCATTAACTGAAGAGCTAATTCCTGGCTGTGCCTCTGTTGCCTTTCTAGTCACCAAATAACTGTTTGCAAACAAGAAAGGGGGAGCATAATCTTTAATTGTGATACTCAACTGAGCAGGACAAACAGCAGCAGAAAGATTACCTCAGTGCCGTAAATGTAACCAAGACACCTAAAATGCTGGGGTGTTTTTTACAATCCCTTTAGTAAGTATGAAAACTGGTAACGTGAGTCCTCAGTGAAGTTATTGTAGGAAAGTCCTTTTATTCATTATTGCTTTTCTCCTCAAGGGGTGCATTATTTCCATCTCTGCTTTGTCTGATTTTTCATGTTCACTGACTTTGCCTGGGCAGCCCCACCTCTTACGTTGGTGCCAGTGTGTCTAAGAAAGTTTTTTCCCCTGATTCCTTGTAATCAAACACTGGGGGCAGGAAGAGATGATGCCTAGGTGACAGAACACTGCGATTTGAAGTGGGGCAGTAGGTTTTTTAGACAGGCTCTTCCTATTCAACTACAGAACACCTTGGTGCCAGTCCATGCCAGGGCAGAGACCAGGACTAGACTTCAACTGAAATGTCGCTGCCCCTCTGCTCAAACAGATGAACAAAACAGAATCAAACAAAACAGAAACAATCAACGACAAACAAATGAGAGATTCAATGTTGGTTTTCTTTAGGGCATGGCATGATGACAAGTTGCGAGGGACATCTAGTTGCTGCCATCGCTATTGCAAGGGCCTGCTTGAATCAAGGGCCTTTATTTTCAGGTAATGGAACCTCTCTAACAACTTCTTCCTTCCCACTTTCATGCTGCTTGCTGGTAACAGACTGGATGTGGGTTCTGGCTTACTTAGCTAAGAACTAATCTTTTTTTTTTTTTTTTTTTTTAGGGGGGGGTTAAAGGGGGGGGGGGGGACAGGGGGGGGGGCATGATGAGAGAATCATCCAAATTGAAAAATCATCCAAATCCAAATTGCTCTAGCTATCAATTTGTGGTAGATGACCTTTAAGATCTCAGTAACAAAACTGTCTGACAGCTCAGAAAATGTACAAGCTACAAACATCTGTAAATGGCAGAGGACACAGCACGGAAAACAATCAATGCCTGTCTCTTCAGCATTTTTGTGGCTGAACTCCCACGTCAGGGTGAAGCCGTCTCTCGTGTAGTCAAGGTGGGGGTTACCTTCAGATCGAAAGAAGTGTTCCTTCTTGTTCCTGCTCTGATTGCAGACATCGTGGGATGGTGATGCCCTTTTGAGTTAACACTGTGAAGGGAATTCAGCCCTGCTGAATTGGGTGCCGCTAAGAGATCCAGCTCTTCCGCCCAGCTGGACAGCGAGCGGTCCTCACACCAGCATGTGCCTCCGGCGGTGCAGGGCCAAGTGGTCTGACCGGGAGAAGCTGCGATCACAGTCCGCGCACTTGAAGGGCTTCACTCCCGTGTGTTTGCGGTAATGCCGCGTCAGTTCATCGGAGCGCGCAAACTTCCAGGTGCAGCCTTCCCAGGTACACTTGTAGGGTTTCTCTCCTGGAGGAAACAAAGGCACACAAGCTTTGGTGCTCCGCCACTTTTCTATAACAATCAAGCCAGCGCTGGGTGTTGGGAACTGTGGTTCTCAGTGGGGTTTCCATTTGGGAAATCTGTTAAGAAACCTTCCCATCCATACAGGGGTCTTGTCTTTCCTGCTGCGACATCAGGCAAGTGAGTTAACACCTGCATCCACAATTATGAGGAGTGACCTTGTGCTCCAAATATCAGGAAGCACATACTGACAGTCACTGGGTAAAATCACCGCTAGTAGTCTGAGAGCTCTATACCAAGTTTGATTTGGTTCGAAAACCAAAAGTCCCAAAGAGTTACACACAGTAATTAGTTATGCTTAGTTTTAACACTCCCTCTCCCACACATGCACCACTTCCATGGTTTAAGATTTTTTTAGGACACAAGGTCCACTTATCAGTGGCTGCAGGTATACACACAATGTTATCAGTAGGTAAAGTGCTCCATGCTCTAAGAAATTAGGCATATATTATGCATAAACATCAACATTTTGCTTGTCCATTGGGAGAGAATCTTAGATATCTTAATAGTACAAAGTGCTGAAACTCCCTGTAAAAAGCAGTCTGAAGAAGTATGTAATTTGACCAGACTCCACAGTCAACTTGTAAGGACAGTAAAATATGCAAAGGCTGTGCTGGGAAAAGATACACTATCCATTGTCCAAACGGGCTCCCAGTGGGATCGGGACAATAGTTGACCCAGGTACAGTGTTTTCCTGGCTCTCATTCAGAAGGAAGCCCTGTCCCCATGCAACCCCACAAAAAACTGATCTCTCCTTCCATCTAATAGTCTGAAATGTACTTCTTTGCCACACTGGGCCCATGCTAAAAGATAGGAAGGAGCTATTTGCTGCTCCCTATGAATAAAGCTGCAAAGTGAAACTGCAAACCTCACTTTGTAGATGAGAAGAGTGAGGCTGCACATAGCAAAAAATACTCAAAGTTAGTTAAAAGATGCCTGTTGCTCTGAATCCAATGCTGCAGCCTATGCTACAGAGGAATGGAGAATTCTTACCCTATCTAAACTTTGCTGCATCCTCAGGGTTAGTTCACTTTCTTAGATACTCCCACATTTAACTGTTCCTTTCCTATTTCTATGACATTTCCTACACAATATACCATGAAGCTTATGTTTGGATGCCTTTCTCCTCAACCAGTCACTGAATTCTCAGAGGTCAGAGGTCATGCATGGTATCCCCAGGGCTTACAATAGGTCCCAAGCAATAACTTGAATGAACTAATAGAACTGCAAAGTGAAAGTGTGCTCATGTGTGTGCATGTGTGTGCGCACGCACACACACACACATACACACACAAAAAATTACTAAGCCCTATAAATGAGATGTATAGGTAACGCCCACATGGGAAAACTAAACTGAACATTTTCCATTCAACTGTTAAATCAATGCTGTTTATAATGGTTCTTTTAGGATCAAGTGGCTCTTTCAGAAGAGAGTGAATGAGTAGTTCAGACCTGTTCAATGAAGAATTGCTGGTGCACTAATTGTGGCCCAAAGGAAGCCCCAGGTTACTCTGAAAGGGTTCCTTTCAGGCAAAAGCCTGCTTACTGCAGTGATCCCAAACCTCAATTTCTCATTCATTCTAGTAGACAAAATTTGCATTTGCATGTGTCTATTGACCAGTGTTTGACAGAAATCAAACAAATTTGGCAAAAACTCTAACTTATAAAGACTGGAGATCTACTATACAATTTACTAATGGCAATGATTAATATACTTTTTCATGCTGAATATAATTTCTCTATGTTTGAAATTATATCATGAGAATGGGGTCTAATGTTGAGCTTGCAATAAACTAACTCTTCAAAATCACATCTATTGAGACACCGGCTGGAGCTCAGGCTCAGCCCAAATTCACCTTGCTGACCTGTGTGGGAGCCCAGACCCAGTGTAGGCCCAAGTCCATCTCACCACTGGTAGTTACCCAATGGAGCTGAGGCTCAGGCTAGACCTGCCTCGCTGACCTGTGCAAAAGACAGGGTCCAGGGTACCTGTCTTTTGCACAGGTCCACCCCCCACCACCACCACCTGGGAGCCTAGGTCTAACCCACTTCCATCTTGAGACACTATACCCATCCCCATAGCCTTCCCCATGCAGCAACCTCTACCTTGGAACAACAGACAGGGCTTAGAAGCAGCTGCATCTTGGAACAGGCATCTTAAAGTCAGTGTAAGGCCCACCTTTTCAGCCTCATCTCTGAAAGATGTTGCATCCATCTTGGGGCACCTCCTCTGCTATTTCAAGTTACCTCCTGCTATTGCCACCACCACCTATAGTTGCAGTAGCATCCATCCTGGGACACCATCAGGGTCTGGAAGCCTAACACCAAGGTGAGATACAGATATAGCTGCACAGATACTTACAAGATTATAGAGTAGAATCTGTAACACCTCAGAGCCACACTGCAAGTAAGGAAATCATATAGACAACATGAAAAAACAAGGGAGGAAAGTGTCCCCTAAAACCCAGGATACTACAATAACAGAACCCATGGACAGCACAGTTGACAAAATGTCAGAGAAGAGTTCAAAAGGTTCATAATTAAAATGATCTGTGAATTAAAGAATGACCCAAATAAGAAAATACAGGCAAAAATTGATCACTCCAACAAACAGATAAGAGCAAATACAGGCAACCATTGATCACACCAACAAAGAGATAAGAGAGCAAATACAGGTAGCAAAAGATTACTTTAAGAAAGAGATAGAGATTATGGAAAGAAAAATATCAGAAATCCTTGAAATGAAGGAAACAATAAACCAAATAAAACACTCAATAGAAGGCATCACCAACAGACTAGATCACTTGGAAGACAGAACATCAGATAATGAAGACAAAGTATACAATTTAGAAACAAAGTATAACAATGGCAGCCCAACACCAAGGTGACCACCCAGTGAAGATGGTACGGAACTATGAGCAGAACATCCAAGAATTAGGGGATAGCAACAAAAGACTAAATCTAAGAGTTATTGGGATAGAGGAAGGCATAATCTCTTCAATGAGATAATATCAGAAAATTTCCCAAGCACAAAGAACGAATTGGAAAATCAAATACAAGAGGTTTACAGAACACCACATGTACAAGCTTACAACAGATCTACACCAAGGCACATTATAATGAAAATGCCTAGCATACAGAATAAGAGTAGAATCTTAAAGGCCACAAGAGAGAGGAATCAGATCACATATAGGGGGATACCAATTTGTATTTCAGAAGATTTTTCAACCCAGACCCTCAAAGCCAGGAGATCCTGGTACAACATATACCAAGCTCTGAAAGAAAATGGATGCCAACCAAGAATCATATCTACCAAAATTAAGCTTTAGATTTGATGATGAAATAAAAACCTTCCATGATAAACAAAAGTTAAAAGAATTTACAACTAGAAAGCCTGCACTACAGAACATCCTCAGCAAAATATTCCATGAAGAGGAATTGAAAAACAACAATGAAAATCAGCAAAGGGAGGTAGTACACTAAAGGAAAAACTAATCAAAGGAGAAACCAAGTCAAGTTAAATACCAAAAATAAACAAAAATGGCTGGGAATACAAATCATGTCTCAATAATAACCCTGAGTGTTAATGGCCTAAACTCACCAATCAAAAGACATAGGCTAGCAGACTGGATTAAAAAAAAAAAAAGACCCAACAATATGTTGCCTCCAAGACACTCATCTCATAGAAAAAGACATTCACAGACTGAAGGTGAGAGGCTGGGAAAAATCATACCACTCACATGGACTGTGGAAGCAAGCACATGTTTCCATCCTCATATCAAAGTAGACTTCAACCTAAATTAATCAAAAGGGATAAAGAAGGACACTACATACTGCTCAATGGAACCATACACCAACAAGACATAACAGTTATAAATATATATGCCCCAAACATTGGAACATCTACGTTCATCAAACTCTTCTCAAGTTCAAGAGTCAAATAGACCACAATACAAAAATTCTAGGTGGACTTTAACATACCTCTTTCACCATTGGATAGATGTTCCAAACAAAAGCTGAAAAAAGAAACTAGAGAACTCAATAATACAATCAATAACTTAGACTTAACTGATATATATAGAATATTTCATCCTTCAATGAGCGAACACATTTTCTTCTCAGCAACACATGGATCATTCTCTAAATTAGACCATAAATTATGCCACAAAACAAGTCTTAGAAAATAAAAAAAGGAGAGATACTACTCTGCATTCTATCAGATCATAATGGAATGAAATTAGAAATCAATGATAAAATAAAAAATAAAAGCTACTCCAATACCTGAGACTAAATAATATGCTACTGAATGAACAATGGGTTACAAAAGGCATCAAGGAGGAGATTAAAAAATTTTTAGAGGTGAATGAGAACACAGATGCAATGTATCAAAATCTCTGGGACACTCTTAAGGCAGTTCTAAGAGGAAAGTTCATTGCATGGAGTTCATTCCTTAATAGAAGAAAAAGTCAACAAATAAATGACTTAACATTACATCTCAAAGCCCTAGAAAAAGAACAAATCAACACCAAAATCAGTAGAAGACAGGAAATAATTAAAATCATACCTGAAACCAATGAAATTGAAACAAAAAGAAACAACTGAAAAAATTGATAAAACAAAAAGTTGGTTCATTGAAAAAAAAAAACTAATATTCACAGACCCTTAGCCATGCTAACGAAAAAAAGGAGAGAGAAAACTCAAATTACTAACGTACGTGATGAAAAAGAAAATATCACAACAGACACTACAGAAATCCAGAAGATAATCAGAAATTATTTTGAAAACTTGTATTCCAATAAAATAGAAAACATCAAAGGCATCAACAAATTTCTAAAGTCACATGATTTGTACAAATTGATCAGGATGATATACACAATTTAAACTATCAATTTCAAGTGATGAAATAGAGGAAGCCATCAGAAGCCTACCAACCAAGAAAAGCCCAG